TCTTTTTCTCTGACCCTCCACCCTACCAAACATGATATCCTTCTCCAGTGACTGGTCCCTCCTGACAATATGTCCGAAGTATGAGAGACGAAGTTCGGTCATCTTGGCCTCTCATCCCTTTTAGTGTCATAGAAAGTCCAGGCTAATGCCACTGATCCCATGGTCTGATGACTAGGTTTTCCTCTGGTCTAGAAAGGGGCCAACAGAAGGTCCCATCAGAAGAGCTAGTCAAGACTTGAACTCAGAGCCTATGACTCATGAAACCCTTGTCTGGCTTAGGGAGCCCAGTCTTGTCTCCTCAGATTGGCAACACACTCTGAGGGTGGGGCAGCTGCCTGGATTGGCTAGCCTTCTACCCTCCCAGCACCCAGCTTTGGTTCTGCACAAGGTTAAGTGCCAAATCAATACCAGTGTAATCACTGGTAATCTCTGTGATAACCTTCATACCAAAGGATCACCCCTTGCCACCTTCCAAGAGTGGCAGGCTGGGGACTCAATGTCCTCACATTGTAACCTTGGGTAAGTCACTTACTCCACGGGCCTGGGACCCTCAGCTGATAAGAACTGATAATGAACCAACATGTGCATCCAAAAGGCCTCCCCACCATTTTTTTCAGAACCTTTGCTGCCACTTCCAAGTATAAAAAGCTCGATATTGCCTTTCTAATGTCATCTGAAATTCAAAATAGGTTAAATAACAAGATAAATAACAAGATAAATAACAAAGAAGGCAATAGGACAAAGCTTGCTCTGTTTTCTGACCACATTCTAGTCCCTTCTCACCAATTGATCCTCCCCCTAACTCTAACTCCTCCCCCCGGGGGGGGGGGGTCTGAATCATTTCTTTCCTGGCACCCCCAAGCACACGGAGGCCTCGTGGAATGTTTGTTGAAGTTATGAAGCGCTATTACATGATGTCATCTGAGTCTCTAACAACTCTGCAGAAACTGGAAGGTTAGCCCATTGTGGGAGGTTGGCGGAGGGTTCCAGGGAAGGGGCGTGTCCAAGGCCACATGGCAGGTAATGACAAGGGGCCAAGTGTCCCTGCTTGCTGGGGATAAAGGATAAATCTCTTGGGGAAGGAACCTACCTTGTGTTGGGGGAATCACAGCCTCTGCTGTGTGGCCATACCTGCCTTCCCACCACCACCCCAACTCCCTGGCTTTTTAAGGCAGTCCCCGCCCTCCCAGCAGAGGGGCCTGTGCTCCAATCCAAACCCCATGGCCACTTGGACTGGAAGATTAGCTTCTTCCCCAATCTCAGCATGATGCCACCTTGCCAGTGCCTTTGTGGTTGTTAAGTGCTGTCTAGTGGGTTCCAAGAACAGCTGGTGTGCTTGAACCACTGGCCTTGCAGTTCAAACTGACTTTGCAGTCCAGTGCATTAATCCACAGCGTCATGCCAGCGCCTCTGGGCACCCTCAGAAGGTCTCCTCCCACCCCATTCTGCCTGCTTGTTGGAGTAGATGCCCAAACGCGGAGCCAAACTGGGTGCTGGGAGGAAGTAGGACAACCTAGACAATTGACTTCAAGGGCAGAACGCTGCCATTTAGACCTATCTTCCCACATGCAAACTGGGAACTGTTTCCCAGGAGTGGAAGGTGTTTCAGTCAAACCCTGAGGTCCCGGGACAGTGTAGTCCCAGGTTCAAATCCAACCCCCACCCCCCCCACCCACGCTCAGTCTCTCATCCCATTTGGCACCTAGTGTTGACCTCAGGGTATTGCTGGTGATCAAATTGCCCTCTGGGACTGGAGTAAGCAGTGCTCTCCTCGGGCTCCACGAACATTCACAGCACTCATTGATTCGGAGAGGGGAATGACTTGCCACAGATCGGAGAGCAAAAGCAAGCTGTGGTAGAATCCTGGCGGGATTCCACCCATATCAACAGTAAAGGCAGGTGTGTAGGGGGAATGGAGAAGGAAGTGAGAGTGTGGGGGCAGAAGACTACAGAGGAAGGAGAAACGTTTTTGTGGAGGCGGATGTGCAGCCACTGAGCCCAAGGAGGGCACCTGGGACACAGGAGAGAGGAAACTAGGCGAATTCAGTGCCTGTGACCTGTGACCACGAAGCTCCGGTGTCCCTCTTTCAAGCGGAGTCCTAATATTTACTCTGCAGGAAGACGTCCAGGCGTAGGGCAGGTGCTCCCTGGGTGATAATTTGATCACAAGGGCAAGCTATGGGGCCCGGGGCGGGGCCTTGGCATTAATACGGAAGGCCAGCAGAGGCGCTGTGGAGGCGCAGATAGTGGAGAGGGGCGGAGGAGAGCGGAGGTGTGGGCCCGCTGCCCCCTGGCGCTCACCTGGGGGTCACCCTCAGGCCCGCCGATGGCGCCACGTCGCACCTCTAGGCCATGCACACGTGCACGCTGTCTCCTCCCCGCCGACGTCAAGCAGGGTGACAATTGCCACCGCAGCAGTTCCCCCATAGGGCCGGGACTTCCCCAAACCCTCGTGGCCCCAGGGATAAGGGGCTGTCTCTCTGGGGTCCGATGCTGTGTGCATGGGAGTCCAGCCGTCTCCAGGTGGAGAAGGAAAACGCCAGAAATGGGTAGTAGGCAATCTGCGGCCATACTGAGGGGCCCCAGTTCCCTGGGCTCGTAGCGGATGAAGAGGTAAAAGTATTTTAGGTTCTAGGGGGCGACCAGTGGGGCAGGGGCGCTTCCTGACTCAGTACTCCAAATTAGAGCCAAATCAGTCCTCGACTCAGCGAGGCAAAGCGGCAGCCCAAACGCCCCTATTCTGCGATCCAGTTCCCGCCACGCGTCTGGTGCGGCTCTGGGTCCCTTCGCCTCTCCGGCCTTAAGTTCCCAGTCTAGAAAATGGGCTTCAACCCAAGCGGCTTTTGCATGATTAGGGACTAAGGGCAGACAGCCTCGAGGGCAGCATGGATTGGAAATCTCGGAAAAACTGAAGCCATTCCATCTGGGGTCGCTCCTGGGGAGGGGGTGGCCGGCTGCCTGGGCCGGAGTGGAACCGGACTGGATGACCTCACCCGCGACTTCGGCCTGGAATGCGGCGGG